AAGAACAAGCTACGTAATTTTATTAAAGGCCAGTGTATGTTTGATTCATTTTATTTTCGTATGACCATATGACTGAATATTTTGTTTACTTTTCGAAACGAAAACAACAAAATTATTAATAAACCTATAACAATAAAAACATATATACATTTTAGCTTGAACAAAAATTTAAAAAGCTGATAAAAATAAAGATGAATTTGGTTCCAGAATCTAAACACGATTACTTGTAATTGTAATATATCCTGCGATAAAAAGAGGAAATATAAATGTAAAAGGACATTTATTATTGGCACTGAATAAGAAAGTGACTTAAATATTATAGGTTATAAAGTAAGCAATTGGTTCACTATAGAAAAAGGGAATTGTTTATTTGTTAATGTGATGAAACTATATAACTCAAATATAACACTACACTCATGGCTTTTATGATATTTGAAAAAATAATCAAGAGTGAAAAAACTATTAATCTTATCAAATGCTCGACCATTTATATGTATCTTTTTAACTTTAAAAGTTAACTATCATTGAAATAAAGGTGTTATTCATGATATATTATTATAAAAATAACTAATTGAGGCTAGTTTTCACAAAAACAGAAAGTAGTGTTCCTGTTATATTTTAGTTAATTGTTTTAACTTTATCATGCAGTTGTAAATTTAATAGTTTTACAAGCAATACACTCGATCATGCATTTATAGAAGCAATAGTGTTTATGCGCGCTTTTAAAAGGTCACATATTTTACCATTTCAAACTCATAAAAAGAGATTTATTTACATTTCTAAAGTCTTTTCCATCCTTTTAACCCATTTAGTATTCTTGTCATTGTACCCGAGAGATTTATTTTTGCCTTTCCTAGATTTTCTGTCAACGTATTCCCAAATTGATAATGACCAATTATTGATTAAGTAATTTGAAAATGTGCTATAAGTTTAGAAATGAACACTGAACAAAAATGATTCTAAAAGTCATTTTCTGTTAAGGGATCTAGATTGTTGAATTCTATTTAAGTTTCCTTTGTCCCAATTTGTTTAGTGTAAACTTCACTCTTGTAGTATACAAATTATATTAAATGATGTCCCAAAGGAAATTACTATTTCGAAATAAGACCAAAATTGTGACAAAATTGCAAGCGAGAAAGGTTTGAATCTGAGCCTAAAACACATTAATTGTTTCCTTAATTTTCTGTTTCGCAATAATGAGTTTCGTCCATAATGTCACAAAGTTGAATTGAACACTTTCAGTATTATCGCATTCTCCAATTCCTTACCACGTTACACTTTTTTCTTAATGTCCATGAAACGCTTAAATGTGAAAATTTTAAAGTATTAATCAGAAAAAAAGATATGTCGTTCCATACTTACAATTAGTTTGAACCTATCTTAAAACTTATTTCTATCTTACAATTTGATAGACAAATGTTTTATTAAAACTATTTTGTAAAATCCATGCTTTTATTATTTGGATTTTAATAAAGATTTCATAAATAGCGTAATAAATTCTGAGTATATAGATGTCTCACATAGTTTAATGAAACTATTAATGTCAATAAACAGTTTATTAAAGGGTGACAATTCTCGTGGGCATTAATCTGATAAAGATTTGTCCTTCAACAAAAGTTATGTACCTATAAAAAATGTTTAATCAGACTGAATTTTGTTTGATGTCAAGTGATCCCTGGTTCACATATCTATAAAGACACAGATAATAACCCATTAAAACGTACCTTTTATGCATGTAATGTCAACAGTCTTTACAGTGGTTGCAGTTATTGGTTTGTAATACAGCAATCGTTGGTTCGACCCATATTTGGGTTACGACCATATTTCTTCATATTGAAGCAGTATTGAATAAAACAGGACAGGGGTTTTCTACATATATTATGTTCAACATAATGCAAACATCCTTCCTTAATCATTTATTTCTCTCAATATTTTAAGCAACAGACATTGTTAGATGTTATTCAATCTGGAAGAGTGATTTCAGATGTCGTTTTATGTAAACAAGAATGTATCTATAGAAGAACTGATGAATTATGCAAAAGAATTCCTTGAAATCACATGACATTGTCATGAACATCAATGTATGCTTTGTTTAACATGACAATAAACCATTATAATGTCGCAGTGTTAGATGTTGTCAATTATAATATGAAGATATTTATTCAGATAATACCTCAAATATTCAATACATTTAATATATTCTCTTTGAAAGAATCGAAATGTCATCAAAATTAAATCGAAATAGTTCCCTGCGGTCATTCTATTTAAATTATTCACATGACTTGTGGAACTGTATGAAATTTTGAACAATGTTTTCAACACACCAATTACCTGAACAAATTACTTACTATTTGTTTTAACAGTCACAGAACATTGTTCCAGAATTGAACGCATTGCTTTAGATGCATTACTTAATAGTTTTAGTTGATGCAATGCTATGTTCCCTTCTTAAAGATAAATTCGCCTTTATGTTTGAAGCATAGTACTTTAAGCTCGATTGTGCAACTTATATTAATCACCTTCGAGTCCGCTTTCTGGAACCAATCAGTAGTGGTGTCATTATGAAAAAAACATGGTAGTGACTCGATTAAGTCTCGTTCCCATGATCCACGGGTTGAAAGGCCTTTATCACAAGGCATCTGCTTCCCATTCTTCTTTTATTCATATGAGATGACACTAAAACAGTTGTTTATATATTAAAAGACCAAAAAGACAAACAGTAACTTTTTTTTAACAATGAAATCACTATAAACAAAAAACATTAGAAGCTGCTTGCTTTGATACGTACATCATGACTTATTTCGAATCAGATATATCGTTGGTGCAAACAACATTTTTTAATTGATTTACTGTCCCATATGTGAACAGGTTATCCATAAATAACTGCACATAAAGAAATCCTGTCTCTATCTATTAAATAATTCAACTACCTGCCAAATAAACTATAGTAATACACATTCATTCATCCATTTAGACCCCAACAATCAAGATTAAAGATAGATAAAAAAGTAAATTACACGATGTCTGGAATGAATTAAATGATAAGGACGTAGATTTTTATCCGATTACAAAGGCATGAATATAAACAGAAAGTTGCAGGCAATGTTGTTGTAGAGACAGTAGAGAGCTGACAAAGTCGTAACTGGAACTTATAAAATTCTAAAATGTTTTCATTTCAAATTTTCATTTTATTTTTCGGATTATTCAAAGTGATGATTCCAGTGAGAGATCTATAAAAGATATCGTAAGGGATGAATTGCAAGACTTGATATTAGAATTTGCAAGGACAAATTCACGGTTGCAAAGACTGACCTTAGCAATGGAATCATTTCCTTCAGACACGGCTGCTATGAAAGGTATATTTGTTTAATGAGAATTGTATTATAGAAATTAATATATTTCATAAAATATTTAAATTGTTCTTTGTTTTTTCCCTTACTAATATCTGAAGAAAAACCGCGATGATTATGGCATGCGAAATATATTAATATGTAGAATTGGCAATGCAAATACCACAAGAATATATAAATATATTGAAAATATACAAATATAACGTAATTCAATATTTTGTTAATGTCTTTAAATATTTAATTTGTATCCGCTGCATAATGGTGTACGTAATTTCTTCAACGAAATGATGAAATGAAAACAAAAAAAGGATATATGTTGATTATAAAACAATTTAACGTTGGGTAAATGAACCTTATATCATTACGATATATCAAGCTAAAAATCGTAAGCATGTTCCATCGTAAGTAATTTTTTTTTTCGAGGAATGATATGAATTTGATAGCAATTCATTTATAACGCATATTTTTGTCTTGTCAATATCTTTTTTTACATTCAAATCAACGTTATGTTCTAAAAATCAAGTCTCATCAAGGGCATGTTACATGAAGGTTATGTCGTACAGCTTTCAATGTTTCGTTTTAAAATAATTTCCAAGACCAAAAACAATTATATTGAGATGTATGCAATTTATTTTCTATTTACATTTTCTTAAGTAAGTTTACCGACATTATTTTTATTATAAACACCTTTGATTAATACTAATGTCTTTTTATTTCTTGTTTCTTTCAAATTCATCACAAATCATTTGTACTTTCAGAAATACTTGCAAGCTATGTAATTAATATTTTGTAGGTTAAACTTTGTTGTTTTAAAGACTATCCGCATCAATGTTTGCGTCTGCAATTTTTTTGACTGTGTTTTGACCAATATACGTATATATAAACATTATCATAGAATATTTTAAATTATCATCTATTTATAAAAACATTCCTTAATAATGCATGCTGGCAAATATATTTATATAACTTAAAACATAAAGCATTGATTTGTTAAAGCCACTTGTCCATATTTATTATACAGTTCTGTACTTCTTAAATAAATGACTACTGAAATCACGATAGAAAAAACCGCTCAAATTTTTGTTTATTTTATTTTTTATCATTTTGTCTTGTTTTTGTGAAATTAAGACCCGATCCGACACAGGAAATTTGTATGTAATGTTTTTTGTGCTTAGACTGTGTTGGATGTAAAATTAACATCGACAATATATTGCCGTAAGAAGTAATATGTAAATCAATCGCTTACAAACCGTCATTCATATAATTATCATAGAAACATTCTAACTTACTGTAACAATAGACCTTGATTCCTATTTAGTTTCTGTTTCCTGTTTATCTTTAGCATGAGATACAATTTGTTTAACGACAGTGACTTTACTCGTATTATGCATTCAGGAAAGTGAAAGTGTAAAGAAGTTTCAATACTTACAAAAATGTCATTTAATACACAATTTTCGATGACTATCATACTGACAGGACAATCAAGTACTTTTCATAGTTGATCAAGCAAACAATTATAACAATATTTTCTTCACTGTTGCTGGCTTATATGGTCGAAATATCTGTTTTCAGATGAGTAAAAGAACTAAAAATGCGTGTTGGATTCCTGGAAAAGAAACTTAACTCACCCCTTCAAGACCTTCTGACAAAGTAGAATAGAAATGACATCTTCCTTTGAACGCAAAATTGCAATTTTAGAAGAAATGTGGACGAATTATGGACCGAGACTAGCATCAAAATTGCTGACGCTGACTCGCAAAGGAAATTTGCAAAATATTGGAGTGAGAAATTTAAAAGTCTGAAGGAAAACACTGAAGTTATGATTATTAGAAGTATGAACGATACAAGATCGGAGGTCAGCCAATTAAAGCAAGCTTTAAGTCGGACAAACTCAAAGAATGACAAACAAGGTAGGTTTTTTAAAAAAATACAATTGGACATGAACTAAAATTATTCAAAATCGTCCGGGTAAATGAAACAAAGATTAACAAGGCCGGATGACATGTAGTGAAAGCATCCCCGAACAAGTAGAATCTCAGGCTATTTGAAGCTTATTCCAGCCTAAAATATCAATAATAAGAGAAATGCTCCTTCTAACAAAAGAAAACATTCCTTTTCTGTGCATTTGAAGTCTGAAAAAAGCAAGTTATAATTTTATGGTATTTTTGTTTTTATAACAAATTTTTTTATATGAAATTATCATTAAGTAGCTATAAGTAGCACAGACATAAGGACAAAGTTTCAGATTTTACACTGAAGTTTCAGATTTTACACTGCTTTTTGAAATGGACGTACATTTTCAGAGTGCTTTAGCGGTGCGGCAAAAGATTATATTGGAAGAAGAAAAACGACAGTTTCCGGGTTACAATGCCAGCGATGGGATAGTCAAAATCCCCACGAACACCACTATAAAGAATCACAATTCTCAGATTGTTCATTTTGCGAAGCTAGAAATTACTGCAGAGACCCTGGAGATGACGGTATGTTGTATATTAATATCATAAATGAAAGCTGAATTTAATTAAACACATGAAAGTAACGTTTCATTTGTTTTGTTTTTTCAATTTACATAGTGTTCTTTCACGGGATATAAACATGACATATGTTATATATCTTCGAGATAGGTTTCATGCCAAAAGAAATCTTAACGTTAATTTGTCGCAAAAAATGAGCATTAAGAACAAAATGTTGCACAACCTCTCACAGCAAGGCTGTAATTCATTGTTTAATTTTGTTCAAAAATTGTATTTCGTTGAATTTTTGATACGTTATGTGTGTTATTTAGGATATCTTTGGTGTTATACTACTGATCTTAACAAACGTTGGGAAGGATGTGGGATACCATGGTGTGAAGAGCCGGAAAGAAACAGTATGTTGAATTCTGTACACATCAATATACTCATTCATGAAATAAATTTTACGATTTTATGAAACAACAAGTATCATGAAGAAAAAAAAACTAAATTTTATCTTGTTACGGAATTTGTTTCTAATTGATTTCTTATTGAAACTTCTTCTTGTTACATAACACCTGCTTTTTATAACAATATTCGGAATTATTATACGAACCTCATTTATATTGAAACGAAAAGTGTGAGCCGTTTTCAGTAAATGATTGAATCTCATCTAATTAATGCCACCATATAATTAATGCCACAGTAGAATCAACTAACACTTTTTTATTACTTCTATCAAGGTATTTAAATGCCATAGCAACTTTGTCGATCAAACAGACCCGTAAGATACGCATTGTGCCCAAGAATAGAATTATTTTTTCAAGCACATAAGTTTGAATAATTGATTTAGAGCAAGTTAGATGCATTTCAGCTGAAGAATGTGTCATTACTTGTCATAAAAATAGAAAATAACTAATTTATTAATTTGACTACCATACAAAATACTTAATCACTATCTAATTGTATAAATTGTCAAAAGCGGCAGAAGTAAATTGAAGTTTAGCTAGTTGGCCAATTTGTAACTTTAACCTGACATCAAAAGTGAACAGCTTTTGAGATATAAAGATACAGCTTTTTCTTGGGCAATATTTACCTTTAATTCATGAATTTTAGATGACACGCACGATTGTTATCTAATCACTGAAGAAGACAGGTTTAGTGGTGCATCAGACAAGCAGATTTGTGAAAGCAATAGTAATAGGTTTGAGGTGGTCAGTGACCAAATATGGCCTAAATGCGAAGAATGTTGCTGTCAAATCAAAGGTTTGTATTTGTTTTAATGCTGAAGTGTATGCCTTAAACTTTGAAACTTTCCCTACATTTCGAACCGTACCGAATAAAGGTTCACATTATGATTAACATTTTTTCCCCTAATCTTCAATGATGGAAACTTCAAACATTGAATATTTTATAACTACAGGTATTTGTTATTCTTATATATGATCATGGAAGTATAAAGTTTCAAATACTACAAAATTAATGAAATTAGGAGTTCGACTATAGTGTGATGGTATAGAATATATTTGTATATGAATCCTGAATTCTTAAAAGCATACCAATTTCTAAAAAATGTCTAGGTCTATATTAAACCAATTTGAAATTCATTATTATTTTGTCATTGGTAGCGACAAATAGCAAAATGTTAAAATTTTATTCGAAAGATGTAACAAAACATTGAAACAATCTTCCAAAACAATCAGTTTGTACAGTTTTTGCCTATTGATACTTACATTTTTAAAATGTTTACAGACTGCTTCAAAACCAATTGTACCGGATGCTACACCGGTACATGGCACCGTACACAGACTGGTCGTGAATGCCAGAGATGGGATTCTCAAACCCCTCATAAACATGACATGGCAGCTGGTGAGAAGTTTCAACAAGATCAATCTGTGACGGGTGCCCAGAATTATTGCAGGGATCCTAGTGAATCCGGTTTGTACTTACATTTGTCTAAATTATAATATCATAATAATGCTATTATTATTCATGTTGGATTATATAGGTCTTATTGTGACTGTCCAGCTTAATTGGTACAGGGAGGTGTCCATAAGGAACACTGACTTTTTGTTAGTATCAACTTGTTTGCTTCAATCAATCTTACAAGTTAAAATTGCATCATTTCATAAAGTTCCTCTCTTTTTATTCGGTGTCAAGCTGTGTTAAGTGCAAACGGTCCTGTGTTGCTGGACGTTGTTGGGGGCATGTTTATTGATTGCATCAACTTGCATATTGATCATTGTCATATTGTACCACTACTTTTGATACAAACTAAGATGCGGTATGACATTTATCCAAGGAAGAGGTTTGATCCGTCAAGGTACACAAGCAAACAATACTTTGAAAATAAATTAATTATTTAAACCTAGCTACTAAGCTTGTATAGCATATTTTTGTATTTACCTGTCTTTATATCATAATCAAATTACAAAAGAACATAACAAATCTTTATTCAGACAGTTTCTATCTTAATATTTTAGGATTCCTTTGGTGCTATACGCTGGATCCAAATGAAAGATGGGAGAAGTGTGGAATTCTTGAGTGTTGACACGTTTTTTCTTTGGATTTCATTTTGGCAAAAGTTAAATTGGACTAACGATGTATATATTAACTTCCTTAATAAAAAGTAACTGTACTTCTTCTTAACTACAACTTATTTTTTTGTGTTAGTAGGTCTTGCGAGCATACTTTTTTATGCTGTAGATTTCCAGCACTTGATCTCGTTGGAAAGGTTATTGCACTTTTTTATATTATCAAGCAGCTGCATTCGTCACAAAAACAAACAACAAAAGTTAATGAATGTTTGAAGAGTGTAAGATTTTTGTTACAGAATAGTTATGTTAAATGAATAGAATTGTAGAGTGCTTTGTAATATACATCGGCATAAAATCAAGTTGACATACTTGGTGGTAAGTAAGCTTTCCAAATATACATGTACTGCATTACTTTCATAAGGTTTCAGACTTTGGTTTCAAAGACTGCAAATTGTCTGACAGTGGAAATCACATTGTTAAAGTAAAACATTATATTCTGGAACTCACAAGCCAAAATTAAGCAGTACAATATTCTCTTACTTCCACTTATGGAAGCCTTGCATATAGTTCATACCTTCCAACAGACACTCATGGTATCATTGCTCTACTGACAATACAAAGTGTATCACTAATTTACAAAATTTACTCTTGATTAAAACTGAGATTTCAAAGCTTAGCATTTATAATTTATGTTATACTTCTTAGAACTATAACTTTCTATATGATTTAAAAAGCTGAATGTCACTTTGAATTAAGCACTCATTTACTTTAATTAAAGAGAAGTTAAAGAAAAAATACTGGTTTGTTGTAAGGAAAGTTGAAACGTTTTTCTTTGTTTGTACCAAAAAATACTTCGTTTCTTATCCCTACGTTGAAATAGTACGAAGTAGATTTATCTATATATTTTTTCTAGAGTCACTTATTATTCAAGATTGGATCCAATTTGGTTTACAATTTCTATTTTTAGGCCATGGTGTTATTCAAATTAATTTGCTTTTAAACTAATTAGCATTTCTCTAATCACACTAATAATTGTTACAAAATTTGTTGAAATGATATTGTTTCATATTCTGAATTTAATAATTTAAACAAAATGTTTGAAAAATAAATCTTAACATTGCCATGATGGATTACCATTTACAAAGAATAACCGTAACATTTAGATCTTTCGGGGTACATTTAAGAATTTCTACAAAGCAGGACCAGAAACGTATCCGACTCTGACTGGCACGCAAACAATGCATTTCAATAATGCCTTATTTCTACATGAATATGTTCTATATGAATCCAAAATGAATAAAATGCTTTAATTTAAAAACAAACTTTTTTCGTTTCAATTTGTTCAGTTTTGAATTGTCCACTCAAAACGATTTACATGGAGGCATGGGAGCTGTAGCATTTTTATTGTATCGCATAAACGGCCTCTATTAATTCGAGTTTTCAGTAAACATGTGTTTTTTTGTTCTCATTCTTCCTCCTAGCGATCTCCCCTTTTTATACTCATATCAGCAGATGTGTTGAAGTTGTGGTTAAATTTTTCTTGTTTTCTTGGCATCATTGACCCCAGCATAATAAGTGCTGATGAATTAATATCACTTAAGCCGTTGCAATGGGGCGTGGAAACTATCGACTTTACCCTTATTTCTCATAAACAGACATAATAAATACTATTTTGCAAATATCTTATCCTTTTTGTTGTTTGCATTGCTTCTGGGGATCTGCCTTTTCCAGAATGTTTACGATAATGCTCTTTGATTAACTAAATCAAAAAGTTCTTTTATTAGAATAAAGGATTGATCAAATAAATAAGGTTTTCAGATCTCCTCTTTTCCGATATTATCATTCAAGTTAGAATATGATAAACAAGATCAACAAGGAAAAGCGACATTCAATGAACGCAACCGCCAAACGTTCAAGCAACAAGAAACAGCGGCAAGGAGCCCTATAGAACCCTAAACAAAAGTAGGTCAAACCAACTTGTTTGATAGCAATCATAACAACATTGAAAATTGTTCAACACAATGCACACTCAAAGTAAGAATTGTCTTGGTGAAATTGGAAGTTTTTATAAACAATGATACACCAGAACATTTACAAATTGCTTATAGATATATCTAAAGCATAATTGCACTTCCATTTTATTATCACATAACTCTTAAATAATTTTAAAAACAATATAATTGTGCTGTTTTAAACACAGAAAGGTAAAACGCACCAAAGTGAAGTTAAACGTTGTTTATATTTACTTTTAAAACATTTGTAGCAAGCGAACAACGTATCCCTGAAAATGAAAACCAGAGTGCGATTGTCTATGTAAGCACTAAATTTAAACGCAATAACTCGAAAAAACTTAAAATATATTTGAACAACTCTCGAGATCGTTTCCTAGGTCTAACCAGTATTTGTGCCATGTTACGTATAAATGTCGCAGCACAAGTAGGGCTCAAATCAATAAGCCCAGATCATTTCTAAGCTATTCTTAATAGTTGCCTTTTGACGATGAAAGTATTGAAATTTTCAGAGTTCAGCTAAACGAGTCATTTTCAAAAACCGATGGTGTAAAATTGATTAAAAAGTCTCGAGAGTAGTCAATTGTATATATTTTATGTCACATTTAATTCTACTTTCAATATTTTAGTATCAAAATCATTTTCAAGTGTATTGGACAATGAATATTTCACTATGTTGACAAAGGGTTTATTGGATAGACACATCCTTTAAAGATACTTTAATAAAACAAGTGCCGAAATTTTCTATTAAAGAAGTTTGCAATAATAAATAAGCAGTTTGTAAAATAAAGTCCCATTTATTGTTGACTTTTATCATTAAGGTTCAAATTCATTTTCCAGCGGCGTGCTTGATAATAAAGGTTTTATCGGATAACCAAATATTTTGACGAATCAAGAGTCGAAATTTTTAAGAAACAAAGTTATAAGTTAGCAGGTGGTACATGCCATAACGTCTACACAATCAGTTGATATATCTTAGCAATACATCTTGCCGGTAGTATTTTCCAATCAACAAACTAAAAACGATCTTTAACGTGATATTACACTGACCAACTCATTTGAACATGAGAAGAATTTTGATTTTATCCGTTTATCGATCAAATCATACCATTTTATTTTTGATAACCAAATGTCCAACAGACTATAATATTTTTGTTCAAGAAGTTTTAATTCATCATAAAACATTTATAAACTGATTGAAAAGTGTTTGCCTTGTTTATAAAAAACGTATTTTATAAAATTTTTATAAATAAGGATATTATTGTAAAAACTAAATTTTAAACTTAGTGTCCTTGTTATATCAAAGTGCTGAAAGCACTGATGGGGGCGCAATATGTGCTAAATTCGAGATTTGTATAGCAATCTACTTTAGGTGTTCCAATCTGATATCATTCTTCTTTCAAAGTTGAATAAGTGCCCATTTTGTACACAATATTATAGTATCGCTTCCAAACTCTTGTCAAAATTGAATATCATGTACCAAGACAATACTAACAAACCCAGGCAAAATGCATAATTGATATCATATATATCATGAATAAACATTTTAAAATTTGACATTGGATTTTGTTGGGAAACTATAGTTGCTTAACCAATTTTCATGTAAAGTACTTCCTTATGTGAATGTATAACACATAAATCAGTGTACTTACTATATTTATTCCAAGAAATGATTATGCAGATAGAAAATAAACAGAAAATTTAACTGTCTATAAAATATTTCTAAAATAAAACCAGGACTGTAAGAACAAACTTATTTTTTGTAGAAACCTTTCAAGCA